ACCTGTAATTTTACCATTAACAGAATTTGCTGAGAAGGACAAAACCCCGACACGTACTCCTAACGCGGATGCAAAAAAAGTGTCGGCACATTGTTGATGGTATTGACACCTTGCGATTTCAGCAATTTTGTTATTTAGGATGTGTCCCACTTCTATTTCAATTAGATTTTTTACAATTCTATAAATACACGTTCAAAATCAGAATTAAGAGTGCTTTAAGAGAGTTTTGAAGAGGTTGGTGGCAGTACTTTTTTAGGTATTCTTGAAGATTAAGAAAGGATTCAACAAGAGAAAATCAATAATTCAACTACCTCAAATTAGATTTTATTTTCTTTTAGATATTTTTATATTCATAACTATAATTTAAGATTTTATTATTTTTATTATAAATTAATTTATTCTACTAGGATTATGATATAACCTAATCAATTTAATATAGATTTTGTGATTTTTATATTTTTAATTAAAATCATTTGTATAAAGAATTTATATTATTGAATTTAATGCATTGAAAATCTGGTCACATTTTAATTGATTTAGTTATTTATACATGAACTTGAGAAAAAATTTTGAAAATTAGACCAATAATAATATAAATCATGTGTTAAATTATGAGATTAAGAGGTAATTAACTCACATGTGGTAGTGGAGGAAGAGAAGAGAGTTAGTAGCACCCCTTCTTAAATTAGAGGTTTTCCTAAAATTTAATACTCACCTGTTTGTTTAAAATTATATAAAAATATGATTAATTTAATAAATAAGGAAAAGATTAACTTGACTTAAGAAAATTAATTAATTAATTTAAGAAAATCTACCATCACATGTAATAACACTCAACAAATTGGTTTTAGAAGTATATTAATCTTGAATTTATATTGATTGATTATGATGAAGTCAACGCCTTAGTACCTCATATCTTGATTGGTTTTATTTTAATTGGTTTTGAAAGTATATTAATTTCGAATCTATATTGATTGATTATGATGAAGTCGACGCCTTAGTACCTCATATCTTGATTGGTTTTATTTTAATTGTTATTTATTATTATTATTTTTAATTAAAATTTATTTTTTGTTAATTGTTCAAATAAATTTAAATTAATTATTTTAATAATTAATTAATCATAATTTTTATGGATTCAACACTCTTTTTATTATTATATTATTTGAAACAACTAATACACTTACTAAGTGATTTTAGCGCATCAGTACTCCTTCATCACCAAGATGTCCAATTGGCCGCCGTGGATGAATTTAGCAATGGAAATCATAATTAATTTTTTAAAAAAACTATACATAAATAAAATTACAATTAAAATTAGAATCATTGTTAGCTATAACCCCAGTGATGTTACCGATGCACTGAATTCCTGATTAAGTCATTACACCTCAGGAGGCATGGTAGAGGTCAGATTTTCTTGGCTTGGGTTTGATCATAAAACTTAACCAATAAAATAAAGCATTTGACTAGAAGATAGACATTATCATATGATTGATT